TTTGAATGAGGTGGGTTGGAGCTAAGATGAGTACGTCTTCAGGGAATGCTAGACTCTGCAACCCATCTATGTAAACTTAATTTGCTGCCCAGTTTGGTTGCGTTTGGAGAGGTCTTGCATTGTAGTGACTAGATCCTGTGAGCTGTGTGGTGGTATAGGTGTGGGGCCATTGGGTCAAGGGGCAGGGCTAGAGTCTAAAGAAGAGAAGCCATCAGGAGGTGTGGACCGTGTCAGGTGCGAGGTGGAAAGTGTGTTGAATTGGGAGTTTAACGGATCTGGGTTCTTGTTGGAACCTTTTCCCTTAGGTACCTTCATCTGCAAAGTGGAATTTAATAGCAAGGCCCCGCTCATCTCCCAAACGACTGGAGAGTAGAAGTGCTTTGTAGCACATCTCTCTCTGTTACCACCTGTCCTCGCCCTTTTCTTCACGTGCTGAACTGGGCAGATTTCAGCATGAATACAGAAGCGCCAACTCGGTGCTGGGATAGGCTCAGATACATTCCTTTCTTCCTTCCTACTGTCCTTGTTTGCACTTCTAAGTGTCCTTTACTTCCCACCCTATTTGCAACTGAAGGGATGGTTTAGCTTTCCATCTGCTGGTCTAAAACATGCTACCAAAATTTGGAGGTGGATGGCATCCCAGCAAGGAAGAAAGCAGGGATGTTCAGGCCAAGGCTAGGGGCCATCGGGCCTCTGAATTAAAATGTTATTTTCGCATGGCTTCTTTGGTTAACAGTGATTTTGGATGTGGCTCCAGCATGCTAGGGCAGAGAGGTTCAATGTCATAAATCTTTGAAGTTCCTGAGGGGGGCCATGAGTTTACCGGAAATGGAATATGATGAACTTGAGGTCTTTTTTTCAGACCTGCTGATTCGATATGTCTACATGTATCTGATTTAAAGGTTGCTCAAAAGGCGCCCGGCTAGCTCAGTCGGAAGAGCATGAGACTCTTAAAGGTTGCTCAAAGAAGATACCCTCTATCTTGGTGATGGGAATAGACACGCCAGATGAGAAAGGCCAAAGTGTTGATTAGAGTGGCTTGGCCACGTGAAACTAACTGTTGGAAAATTCAGTTAGGGTCAAAACTAGATTGATTAGCTGCCTCAAAAGAAATTAGACCCATCATTGGTTGGGGCTGGAGGATTTGCTCCCTTTAGTAGGTTTCTGGGTTTTTGGTATAGGGCTGTCATGAATCAGAGCCAGCCAAATGGAGCGGTTAGAGGGGAATCTGCCCCAAGAATCTGCTCATCTCTCCTTGGCTGTGGGAAAAGTAAGAATCAACTGTGGGGCTCAGTGTTGTATTTTTGCTTCTCTGTTTAGCATGTTAGCACGAAGTATCTTGGCTATTCCAGAATCTCAGGAAGGCTGCTGTCATGGCTCTTAGGTGACTCCAGAAATATTGAGGACCTTTCCAAGGTGGTTGGGGGCCCCTGTCTGCTCTCTGTATACTGTAGCTTGTGAGTGTAGCCTTTGAGGGGCCTGATGCTCAGTAACTGAGTGCAACCTCCAACTTGATCCCTTGCTTAAGGTGAGTAACTTTACTGCTGGGTCAGTGGTAGAGAATACCAACTTTGTTTTTTTCCTTCTTGAATTGCTCCTGAGGGGGGTGGTGGGAAGTAGGGATAACTTAATGTTTGGATGATTGAGATTCCAAATTGACAGTCCTTGTCCCAGACCATTCAGGTCAGGTGTATTTCGGAAGTCAGAAAGTTTTGGATTTCAGAAAGGTAATACGGGGGCACCTGGTTGGCTCAGTCGGTAGAGCACTTGACTCTTGATCACATGGTTATGAATTCAAGCCCCATGTTGGATGTAGAGCTTACTTAAAAAAATCAGAAAGTCAATACAGTGAATGTGGAATATTTTATATATGCTCCCAGTGGGATCTGGGGTAACATCCTATAGTCAAAAGATTCTTCTTCTTCTTCTTCTTCTTCTTCTTTTAAGGATTGATTTATTTTAGAGAGAGAGATTGAGAAAGAGAGCATGAGCAGGGGGAGGGGCAAGGGGAGAGGGAGAGATAGAATCTCCAGCACACTCCCTGCTGAGCGAGGAGCCTGATGTGGAGTTCAATCTCACAACCCCTGAGATCATGACCTGAGCCGAAATCAAGAGTCGGATGCTCAACTGACTGAGCCACCCAGGTGCCCCCCAAAGATACTATTTTTTATGGAAGCCATATGAATACTCATCATAAGTGGAATAAATATGTCCATAAATAGTCTCAGCTCAGTTCAAGTCATACTTGCTACCAAATTAGCTTTGAAAAAAACCCAACTTTTGGTTTTTAGAGCTCTTTGGATTTGATGATTACCACTGGAGGATTATGGGCCTGTAATTGTCATTGATTTTGCACTATTAATCAAATTGATCCACAGGGGGAAAGGCTTGTTCTCGGTGGATATTTCCTTGGCTGGGTTCTCTAATCAGGTATTTTGCAGGTAGTGGACTCCCGGCCACATTCCTTTCGAGACCCTTTCTCTTTTCCCTTCTTCTTTCTCTTCCTCTTGGTAGGGATTCAAGCAGGTGTTTTTCTTTGTAATGATTTTCCTTATAGTACCCTTTATTTCTAAATGTAGATTTTGAGAGAACCGAAGAGCCAAATGCTAAAGAATATACACGTGACAGAGCCAAACAAGTGCGTAATGCAGATAACTTATTTTTTTAAAGATTTTATTTATTTGATAGAGAGAGAGAGAGAGCACAAGTAGGCAGAGAGGCAGGCAGAGGGAGAGGGAGAAGCAGGCTCTTCGCTGAGCAGGGAGCCTGACGTGGGGCTGGATCCCAGGACCCTGGGATCATGACCTGAGCCGAGGGCAGCCGACTTAACTAACTGAGCCACCCAGGCGCCCCATAGCAGATAACCTATTTTAATAAATGCTCACAGCAAGATAGGGACACATATCAATGACTTTGTAAACCACACCATTAAATCACTGTAGAGGAAGGAACTCCACAAATATGAGTTTCATTCTTTCATTAATCCTTAGTCCTGTTGAATGTCTCTGACTCCTGTAATAGTCCAGGCCAAGGTCAAACAGTCATCATATCTGGCTGCCAGGAGTGGTTGAATCTCCTGGGGCATTTGTTAAACATGCAGATTCCTGGAGTCCCAGACTTTTGAGGTCAGCATTCCTAATGGGGGAGCCGAGGAATCTGCATGTTCGACCAGTTGCTCTGAAGGGGTTTCTTTGTCTCACTTGAGAACCAGTGCTTTGATGAAGGTCATACAGATGCAGTTTTTCTATAACCCAGGCCTAGGTCAAACCAAGTAGCATGGAACTGATTTGACTCTTAGAAGGACAAGGTTCTTCTTGTTTGGTTTGCCCTGGGGAGGAGAATAGAAGAGTAGAACTACCTGGTCATGGTTAGAAATAAGCCAATCAAATATGGGGGAGGAAAAATAATTTTCCCTCTACCCTTCTAGGTTCTTTTTTTTTTTTTTTTTTGAAAGAAAGATTCCATTTCTAGGTTTACTTATTTTTTTTAAAGATTTTATTTATTTATTTGAGAAAGAGAGAATGAGAGACAGAGAGCACAAGAGGGAAGAGGGTCAGAGGGAGAAGCAGACTCTCCGCCGAGCAGGGAGCCTGATGCGGGACTCGATCCCGGGACTCCAAGATCATGGCCTGAGCCGAAGGCAGTTGCTTAACCAACTGAGCCACCCAGGCACCCCCTTCTAGGTTCTTGACTGAGACCTCTCCCCCTCCCGACAATGTAATAAAAGACCAGTTAACAGGAGAAAAACAAATGGAGGTTTAATAGTATGTATACCTCCTGCAGACATGGGAGAGACCCAGGAAAATTGAGTAACTCCCTGAATGGCCCAAGCCACCACCTTAAATACCATCTCTGGCTTAGAGACAAAAGGAAGACATTGGGTGGTAGGGGTAGGGTAGGGCAGAAGGCCAGTTATGGGAGGGGACCAGGAAGAGCATGGTAATCAAGGGTAAGGTCATTATGCAGGTTGAGGTCAGTGTCTTCTCCACTGAAAAGAGTGTCTAGAGTTTGAGTCATCCTTCTTTTCCTGGTATGGGGGGCATTCTTACAAATGGAGATTTCCCTTAGGATTGTAACTGTCTCCTACGAAAAGGTAACTTCTCACTTTTCAGTGCTTTTCCTATGTCTACTGTTTCTTAAAAAAATAATCGGGCTAAAATAACCCTTATGCCAAAGAGACATATTTCAGGGTGGCAAATTCTGCTCCCCTTCAAAATCAAAGGGAGGCTTGGAGCCTGGGCATGGCAATATTGGTAGGGTTGCTAGATAGAACGAAGGAGGCCCAGTTAAATTTGAATTTCAGATAAACAGTGAATAATGTTTTTATATAAGTATATCCTAAATATTGCATGGAACTTACACAAAAACATTATTCACTGTTTATCTGAAATTCAAATTTAACTGGGCCTCCTGTGTTTTTATTTGCTAAATCTGGCAGTGCTGGGTATTGATTAACGCCCCCTTCCCCGTGGGAGGCAAACCAGATGGCATTTACGTACTTTGTCCCATTCATGGAATACATTTTTGTCTTGGGTTAAAAGCTTCTCAGACTGGCTACTATATCATATTGCATTGAAGAGTTGAAAAATTGAGTCTTGTTCTAGAGGTTAAGAGGAAATGTTCTAGAGGCAAAAAAAAAGGCCTAAGAAAGGCTTTTCCCATCTTGCCCCCAAACACTCCCTCACGCTCTATCCCTCTCCCTCTTCCCCACCGTATCTCTCTCTCTCTCTCTCTCTCTCTCTCTCTCTCTCTCTCTCTCTCTCTCTCTCACACACACACACACACAAACAAATGTCCCCGCACCTAGATACCTGTGCAAACAGAAACACGTTTGGAAAACCACCTGCTTGCCTTTTTAAGTTTTTATATTGCATTTTTCATGTTAGAGTTTGGTTATTTATTGTTACTATTATCATTTTACTGTTGTTATTGAAATAACATTGTCTAACCGTGTCCAGTACTGCTCTTGATAACCATACTTAACTCTTTTTTAATTGCAGATCTTTCTCCTGGCCTGCCCTCCATGTCCTGGGGCTATCGTCGTCTTCAAGTAAGGGAAAAATGGTTTTTGCTCTGTTGCCGTTGCTATTCCGAATGTTCTTTGTGATAACCAAGGGTGATGAGCACGTTGATGTGAACATCTTGGGCCTGCCCCCGCTTTGTCTCTGGGCTTCCCAAGGAACAAAAGTCTATGAGGCCCAGTGAAACACGGGGATATTATATGCAGAGATTTGGCTTTGGTCAAGCCCTGACAAGTCCTTTTTAGCGAGTGTTTGTGGTGGTGGTTTATGGCCAAGCCCTGCTCCCTTGGAAGGTTGCTGGCTTCCTGCAGTTTCTCCCCAGAGCATGTTGGGGGCCATGCGGCTTCCCTCCTCTCAAGAATCATTGCCCTGTCATCCTGCTGCTTCCCTGAGGAGCTGGTTCTTCACTTTGAAGACCTTTGTTCCTATGTTTCTGTGTGTGTTTTTTTTTTTTTTGTGCAAATTAAAGTGAGGGGAAGAAAAAAATCACCTTTACAAGTCCTGACTTTCTTAAAAATAGCAAGCATCAGATCCATTAAAGTGTACTGCAGGCAAATCATGTTTATCTGAAGGCAAATTTGCTTAAAGGAAATTCTCAAGAGTCCCAGAACCCTCCTTTTAACCATGAGTTATGACCATCTCGCTTATCAAGCCTTTTTATTGGCGTTGCTAATGAGCAGCTAAATTGACCAAATTAATTCCATCTCTTTCCCCCTTCCCCGGCCCCCATTTTGGAGCTGTTCCTGAGCAGAGGAGACAGGAAGTAAAGGGCCCAGCAGATCCTTGGGTAATCGAAGAGTGGTGTAAATGGCTTTCTGATTTACTTAGGTCATTAAAGTGTTAGATAGGGAGAAATATACCCCATTTGCTGCTTCGAACAGCTCCTTGGAATAGCCACTTAGTCTCTTGCCTTAGGTGAGTAACTTTCTGCTGGATGAGGGCAAATGGATCCTGATTTCACATATCTTGTACTTGAAAAGCTCCCAAGTGGAAGGCTATTTAACCCTGTTTCCTTCCCTTCATTTCCCAAAATGAGCTCTATTTTTCAGTGTAATGTTTTAAACTAACATTTATTGGTTTTATTTCATAATTATTAAAGTAACAATTCTCATTAGAGGAAATACAGAGACACATAAAAAAAATAAACATCACCCTTAATCTACCACCAAGAAATAATTTTGGTTACTGCTTTTTTTTTTTTTTTTAAGAAGCAGAGATCATATTTAGGATTCTTACTGTATCTTTTCTAAATTTAATTCAATTTGTATATATGTGTATGCATATGAAAATACATAAACATGACTGCTAAATTTCTTTTTATTTTTTTTAGAGTGGTTCTATTTTTTTTCTTTTGTCCTTGTTTTGTTTGACTCCTACCTCTGCCTTTCCACACCTGCAGATTACCAAACCAGTGTGTATCCTTCCAGATTTTTCTCCCCGCTCATTAGGTGTACACACACGCACGTACACACACACACACACACACAGGGATTTTGGAATGTTTTACTGTTGTTGTTCACTGCTTGTTTTACAAAAATAGAATCTTATATATACTGCAATACATCTTGCTTTTTCACTCAACAGTATCTCACGGGGATCTATCAAATTTTATTGGTATACCTTATTCCTTTACAAAGCTGCAAAATATTTCATGGATGCCCAACTTAGCCATTCTTCTCATTCCTTTGTAAGATTTTATTTTTAAGTAATCTCTCTGCTCAACATGGGGCCCGAACCTCCAACCCTGAGATCAAGAGTCCTGTGGTCCACTGGCTGAGCCAGCCAGGTTTCCCTAGCTCTTCTTCTATTCGTGAATGTTTATATTCATGCTTTCCATATTGCTGCCACTATAACCAATGCTGAAATCAACATCATTGGGCATATGCCCTTAAATACTGGTGCTTTCAATTTATACGTACACACACATACACACGAATGTTTACATATAAATATACATATTTATGTTCATAGATATTTCCATACTGATATACAAAAATAGGCTGTTACAATTCACTTTCCCCGTTTGTATGTAATATGAGATTATTCTTTTCTTCATATCCATACCAGCATAAGGTGTTATGATTCTTTTATAATTTTTGACAACTTAATGGATACATTTCCTTGGCTACTAATGAATTTCAGTATTTTTTTATCCAATTAAATTTATTTTTTGAATTGTCTGTTCATACCATCTGCCCCTTTCTTATGGGTTGCTTAGGTTTTCTTAATTTGTAAGACTTCTTTGTATATTTTGGATATTGGCCCTTTGTCTATAGGCATTATAATAGATATTTTTCCCAAATCTGTATGTGCTGATTTGGCTGATGGTATATTTTTCTATGTGTTTTTTTTTTTTTACATTTTTTCATATTCAAATATGATTACTTTCTTATAGCTTCTGGGTTCCCAGTTTTAGTTAAGATGATTTTCTTAAAGATGGCTAACTAGTTGTGCTAGCGTGATATATTACATAATCCCTACTTTCCCCTGTGAACTGAACTACCATTTTTGTCACCTATTAAACTTTTTGTATATGAGGATCCATGCATGGATTCTCTATTCTGTTCCATCTGTTTGTCTATTTGTGCACTCAGATCGTGTTGATTTGATTACATTAGCTTAAAAAATATTTTTCTTGTCTATTCATCGGCATTTGTTTTCTTACATGTAAATTTGAAGATCACTTTTATTCAACCCTCCCCACCAGCCCTATTTGGATTCTAATTAGAATTGCATTAAATGTATATTTCAGTTTTGTGAGAACTGATGTTTTAAAATTATGTAGCTCTTTTAATCTAAGAAATGGTATTTTTTTCCCCATCTGTTCAGATCTCATTTTATGCCTTTCTTGATACATTTATTCCTGAAGAATTAATAGCTTTTCTGTCCATTATGAGTTGAATATTGTTCACCTTTCCATTCCTAAGTGCTTCTTGCTAGACTAGAAAAAGGTTATTGATTTTAACAGTAGTCCTCATATCTTGCCATCTTCTCTTGTTAGGTTTGGTAAAATTTATTTTTATTTTATCCCATCTTTCCGATGGTTTCACCAGTAATTTTCTTTGGTTTTTTTGTTTGCTTGAAACTCAGAGTGAAATAAAAATGGAGCTGGTGGGCCACTGTGTCTAAACGGATTTTAAATGGAGATTGTCTCTGTGTTCCTTCATATTTGCTGTTGGTGTTGGTTGAATAGCCCTATTACATGTGAAGAGTTTCCACATGTACTTAGAGATATTTTCAAAGAAAACGGTACCCGCATTTTATCAAATTCTTTTTCATGTCTGTTGAGTATGGGGTTTTTTTTTTTTCTGTTTAAGTTTTTGATACAGTGAGTTATGTGGATAAATTTTCTGGTTTCGAATTACTCTTATATACTGATGTAAGTCCTGCTGGTCATAGTATATTATTTTGATGCTTTGCTGGATTCCATTTGTCAATCCTTTGTTTAGAACCCTTGCTTCAGAATTCATACGTGAGATGGGAGTCATTTTTTGGGATTCTTTTCATCAGGTGTAAGGATTAAAATGGAATTGCAGAGCACTTCTCTTTCTCTGGCCTGGAATAATTTAATTACCCTTAGAAATTATGTGTTAAATTTTTACCTTTTTAAAAATTATTTTTCTTTTGTTGTTTTTAGAAATTATGGTTTTTTGTTTTTTTTTTTTAAAGGTCAGGTAAAACTCAACTGTGAAGCTCCTCTGGTCCTAGTGCCTTTTTCAGTTGGTACACCTTTAACCACCTTTCCAGTGTCTTCTATGGTAATTCATCTATTCAGATCCTTGGGTCAATTTTGGTCATTTATCATTTACTGGGGAGTTACCTGTTTCTTCTGAGTTTTCGGATTTGTTGCCATGAATTCAGTGGAGCATGTAGTAGTCTCTTATTTTATAATTTTAAAAACTCTCTCCTCATCTGTAGTCATGTCTTCTTTCTTGGGTTTAATCTTGTCTGTTTTTGTGTTTTCATTATTTATAGTTTAGTCAGGTTAGTAAGTACTTGATCTATTTTTGGTTGCTTTATAGAACCTGCTTTTGGATATAGTTATATATCTACACGGTCAAAAGGTGTGTATTTATTCCTTTCCCTTTTGCCTTCTTTAATCATCATTTTCTATTCTGCTTTATTTACTTAATATCATGTTTTCCCCCATTTTATTACAAACTCATCATCCACATCATTTTAAAATTAAACTTTCTATATTTTGAGATAATTATATAATGAATATGATATCATAATACAGATGCAGTTGTAAGAAGACTACAGAGAGATCCTATGTACCCTTCACTTAGTTTCCTCCAGTAGTAACTTTTGCAAAACTGTACTAAAATGTGACAACCAGGATATTGACATTGGCACTGTCAAGGTATAGAACAGTTCCATCACCATGAGGGTCTTTGCCCTTTTATTTATTTATTTTTAAATTTTTTAAAAGATTTATTTATCTGAGAGAGAGAGAGAGAGAGAGAGAGAGAGAGAGAGAGCATGAGCAGGAGGGGCAGAGGGAGAGAGAATCTTAAGCAGACTCTGTGCTGAGTGTGGAGCCCAATGTGGGGCTCGATCTCATGACCCTGAGATCACGACCTGATCTGAAACCAAGAGTTGGATGTTTAACTGACTGCGCCGCCCAGGCGCCCCTCCTGTTGCCCTTTTAGAGCCACTCTCACTACTCTCCCACCTGTCTCCTGTCCCTGACCCCTGGCAGCTCATCTGTTCTCCATGTTTGAACCTTTGTTATTTCAAGAATGCTATATAAATGGAATCATACAGTATGTTACCTTTGGGATTGGCCTTTTTTTAAACTTATAATTCCTTGCAGATCCATCCAAGTTTTTATCATACACCTAATTTTTCGTGGGTGCATACGATTCCACTGTGTGGAAATACGACAGGCAGTGTGAAGTTAAAAATCAGTATTTTAGAAAATAGTTCTCAAGATAATAACTCCACCTTACTTTAGTATAGGTCCTTACTGTTTTCAAAGTCCTTTGTCTTAAACGAGCTCATCTAATCCTTCAAATAATGCTGTGAGATAGGGACTATGTTATTCATACTACAAACCAAGCAGTTGGGGCCAAGAGGTATTAGCTTGCCTAACATTACAGAGTGGCAGAACCAGGATTCCCTTCTTCCTTTCCTGCTAATCCTCACAGTCAGGTTTTACTGTGTGCCTAGGCATGGGGGGAAATACTTAACATGGATTATCACATTTAATTCTTCCAACAAACCTATGTGGATGGCAGAAATTATCTCCCCGGTTACATCAAGAAAACGGAGGCTCAGGAAGTGGCAGTGACCTCAGTGTTTTCTGCTCTTTTGCTGTTCTAGCATTATTTTAGGAGGTAGAACCATGAAGCACCCTATTGAACATGGCACAAATCTCAGTGTACACAGGTGGGCACCCCTGTGGTCCTCAGGCCAGTACGTTCTGGAGGTTGCATTGACTAGCACTGTATCCCCATCTCTTGTTTTTTCTATTGGCCCTTTGCTGTGCCAGCCAAGCATGAGTTTGTCTGCTTCCCAGCTAAGCAGGGGCTGGCGTGTTCTTCTTGGAGGCGTGCCCAGACGCTGCAGGAAAGGGGTATGGTGTGCCCAGGAGGCCACATGCCCCATGCTGGGCACGGGCTGGCAATTCTTTGTGGGGTGGGGAGGGGGCGGGATTCTCCACAGGGTGCACTCGACAAGAGGGAATGGCGGTTCCCCAGTGTGCTGGCTGGGTGCCAGAGTGCTTCATTTATGTGCCCCTCAGTTGACATGCGGCTGGCTAAGTCTGCAGCTAAGAAAGGCTTCCTCAGCAGCAAGCGTGTATGCAGAGGACGGAGCTGAGGTCAGCAGGGGTTGCTACCTGGCCCACCATCACAGCAACCTTGGGCATGGTGCTCTTTTGACCGCCAGTATCTCTAACTCCTAGAATCCCAGCCTGGCAAGCTTTTGGCTTCTGAAGGTTTCTACTCCCTTCTCTTCTTGGCTCCTCATCTCTGTGGATGCTCGTATAGCAGCACCCAAATTGCTTGTTGTGTTGCGTGTGGACTTGCAGCACTGTTCTCTGTCTCTTTGAATCTGAGCCATTTTCTTTCTACTCATTTTGGCTGTTGAGAGCAGTTCTTCCCTGAAGAGCCACATCCCGGTACCTTCAATATCCGGGCCACAGAATTCTTCCTCTCACTCAGGTTTGAGCAAAACCCGTATATTCTTAGAGACCCTTCGGCGCGTGCTATCCTGCTACGAACTTCAAAAAAAGTTACCTGTTTCAGTCACCTTGATCGCACATACCCAGTCCCATAATATGAACCAGCCTGCCTTGCGGGTTTGTAATTAATTAAATAATTAATTGAAGTATCGTTGACATATGATATTGGTTTCAGGTCTATAACATAGTGACACAATTATGTATATTATAAAATGCTCACCGGGGTAAGTGTGGTTACCATCTGTCACCATACAAAGTTATTACAAGAGTATTGACTATATTCCCTGTGCTGTACTTTTCATCCCTGTGACTTTTTTATTTTGTAACTTCAAGTCTCTGCCTCTTAATCTCCTTCACCTAGAGTGCCTATCCCTCTACCCTCCTCCACTCTGGCAACCCGCCAGTTTATTCTCTGAATTTATGAGTCTGCTTCTGATTTTTTTTTTTTTTTTGGTTTGTTTCTTTGTTTTGCTTTTTAGATTCTACATGTAAGTGCAGTCATATGATATTGGTCTTTTTCTGACTGACTTATTTCACTTAGCATAATACCCTCTAGGTCCATCCGAGTTGTTGCAAGGGGCACGATTTCACTCTTTTTGATGGCCGAGTAATATTCCATTGTCTATATAGACTTTATCTTCTCTATCCATTCATTTATTGATGGATCACAGGTTCTTTTTTTTTTTTTTAAAGATTTTATTTATTCATTTGCGAGAGAGACAGAGAGAGAACAAGCAGGGGGAGAGACAGAGGGAGAGGGAGAAGCAGACTCTCCGCTGAGCAAGGAGCCTGATGCGGGACTCGATCCCAGGACCCCGGGATCATGACCCAAGCCGAAGGCAGACGCTTAACCATCTGAGCCACCCAGGCGCCTGCATCACAGGCTCTTGATACATAAGACACCCGTTTTCAAACCTAAGGGATTGGAGGGAGGGTCTTGTTACATACAGTGTAGCCAGGTTCTCCACAGCTCACCCCACCCATCTTACTCAGTTTTCTTCCCTTCAAATTTCAAATTTCATTATAGAAAATCCCAAACCTATATATACTATGCCAGTTACTCATTGTATATTTTCCTCTCTGAATTGTCACTTCATGTTCTCTGCCCAGTTATTACATAGGGGTATTTCTCTTCTTATTGATCTGCATGAATCATCCATATATAGAGTATTAATCCTTTACCAACTTTGCAGGAAGTGTTTTCCCCCGATTGTATTCTAGCTTGTTGATCAGGCTTCTGATATACAGTTGACGTTTTTACTGGACAAATTGATTGGTTTCCAAGCTGCCTTCAGACCCTGGTAATTTCTTCCGGTGTTTTTACACCTGAAAAGTTTTCCCCTTCAAAGATCAGGTAGACAATCTGTTTTTTTGTTTTTTGTTTTTTGTTTTTTCATTTATTTTTAGAGTGAGAAAGAGAGAAAGAGCAGGGGGAGGGGCAGAGGGAGAGGGAGAGAAAGAATTTCAAGCAGACTCCGTGCTGAGTGTGGAGCCAACATGGGGCTCGATCTCACAAGCCCGAGTTCATGACCTGAGCTGAAATCAAGAGTCAGGCACTTAACCGACTGAGCCACTCAGGCGCCCCGACAATCTGGTTTTTTAATTATTTTTTTTTTTAAAAAATATTTAGCTATTCATTTGGTGAATAGTATGAGGTAGGGATATACTTTATATTTTTTTCCTCAAATTGTCAGTTTTTGGAACACTGTTTATTGAATAATCATTCCCTGTGATTATTGCTATTGTGTACTTAAATTCTTGTGTATGCTAGGATTTATTTTGGGGGCTTGTACTATTCCATTGATGTCTCTGTTGGGTCCCTCACCAGTTTCATACTCTCATCTTTGCAACAGCTAGCAGGCCAGATTTCTCTTTGCCATTGTTCATAGCCTGTTACTTTACCCACACTTTTTTCTTGGCTAGTCTGAACCACTATTTCCTTCCAAAGGAACTTAGAATCTTTTTGTCAGACTCTTCTTAAAATTCTATTAGTTTTGGGGCACCTGGGTGGCTCAGTCGTTAAGCATCTGCCTTCGGCTGAGGTCATGATCCCAGGGTCCTGGGATCCAGCCCCGTGTCGGGCTCCCTGCTCCGCGGGAAGCCTGCTTCTCCCTCTCCCACTCCCCCTGCTTGTGTTCCCTCTCTTGCTGTCTCTGTCTGTCAAATAAATAAATAAATAAAAATCTCAAATTCTATTAGTTTTGATGGGAATGACTTTAAACCTAAAATGTCATTAACATCATTATAATACAGTCTGTACATATGGGAAAAGATGTGGTAAATTTCTTAATGTATCCAGGTTTTCTTTCATGTTCTTTAAGGGTGGGTGCATGCGTGTGTGAATCCCACATATCTCTCATCAGGGTCATTCCCGGACAGTTTGTAGTTTATGGTATAATTTATTTATTATTTATTGTATTTTCAAAGTAGTTATTACTGGAACATAGGCAAGATTTTGATTATGCATGTTCATTTTATATTTGGCCACCATGCTTAACTATTTTAATAGTTTTTCAGTTGCTTCACTTGGATTATTTTGGAAATTAATGGTATCAACAACCATATGGTAATCTTACCTCCTTATAAAGAGCGAATCTTCCTCCTATCCCCCATTTCAAGCCTGACTGTATTGGCTAGAACTTCTAGGACAATGTTAAATAACAGTGATACTGGCAGGAATTGTTTCCCTGCTTCTGATTTTAATGAAAATGTTTCTAGTGTTTTGCTGTTGATTCTGATGAAGGTTGTTGGTTTAGATTGGATGTCCTTTATAATGTTAAGGAATTCTCTTATTCTTAAATTACCATTTTTTTTTTTTTAAATCAGGAATGGTTGTCAAATGTAGCTAATTTAGCTAATGGTTTTTAAGAATCTGTTGAGAGGTTCATTTGGGTTTTCTCCTTTGACCTCCCCATTTGGTATGTTAAATGAATAGATTTCCTAATAACAACCTTTGTGGATTTCTAGGGTCAGCTTTCCTTTTCCTCTGCATGCGCGGGAGAGATTCAGGATTGGCTTCTGTACTACGAATTTGATTGATTTTGCTCTTTGCCATCTCCAATGTGATATTTATTTCTGCTGCTACAGTCTTCATTTCTTTCTAATTCTTTCTTGCTTTGCTGCTCTATCTTTTCTCCCCAGTTTGGTGTCTTTCCTTCTCAGTATTTTTTTTTAAGTAATCTCTGCACCCAGCGTGGGGCTCGAACTCACGATCCCGAGATCAAGAGTCACGTGCACCTCTCCTTCTCAATATGCTTTATTCTGATGGCATTCTATACCTGTTTCAGCGAGTCCATGTTTTCTCAGATTCTACTGAGGATGCAGTTTTGTAAAATACTTCTTCCGGGTTCAGACACTAAATCCAGACTTTTGCGCTTCCTCCAAGTCTTCAGAATGATACGCACTTCTGCTCCCAGAGCCTTTCGTAGGAACCATGCTGTTTTTTGGGTATGTTTATACATATTCAAAGGAGGATTTATTTATTATTTGTCCAAGGTAGGGTCTCTGGATTGTCTTTGAGTATTATCATGTTCTCTTTGGTATTGGCTAGAAGCCCTTCTCAGCTCCTCTCTTGGTGGCAGGTCCGTGGCTTCTAGCCTGTTTGCCAGTGTGCTTAGCAGCTTCATCTAGTGGGTTCTTGCCGGACCTGGGCGGAATCACTTACCCCTACCACTAGGTTCTTTGGTACTCTGAGCAGATACGGTATGTGAAAAACTACAACCTCCCCCACACACTGCTACCTGAGTTCTACTTGGGCAGACTCCCACTTCCAGGACACAGTGTGCCAGCCCCAAAGCCATCACTTCCAGCCTTTTGATTTGGGGGAGCAGTCTCCAGATGCATATAGAGCAGTTTGATTTCCTTTGAGAGCTGTGGTGGAGTGGAGGCATGACTGTCCAGAGTGCTGGTTACTGGATTTCTAAGCCACGAGGCCGACAGTGGCAGGATGGACTCTGTCTTCCTGTCTTGTTTCAGGTTTCTGCTCCATGTGTTGGCCACAGATTTTTTTTTCCCCCTCATTTCGGCATTAGCCGTATTGGTAGTGGAGATTTCTGCCAGAGACTCGTAATAGGATGACGACCATCGGTCTAAGTTTTCAGTGATCTGGGGTTTTTTATTTTTTAATTTTTTATCTTTTTACCTTTTTCTGTCTTTTTGTAGGAATTTTAGTAGGAAGCTGGGAGGGGCTGTGTTATTGGATGTTAACCAAGTGCTATTTTTTTAAAGATTTTATTTATTTATTTGTCAGAGAGAGAGAGAGTGTACAAGCAGGAGGATGGCAGGCAGAGAGAGAAGCAGGCTCCCTGCTGAGCAAGGAGCCCCATGCGGGACTCGATTCCAGGACCCTGGGATCATGACCCGAGCCGAAGGCAGATGCTTAACTGACTGAGCCACCTAGGCATCCCAGCCAAGTGCTGTTTTAAACTAGAAATTTAGTGCACATTTTGGTTTAGAGCAGAGGTCGGCAATCTTTTTCTGTAAAGGGCCAGATAGTAAACTTTCTGAATGTTGTGGGCCATATGATCTCTGTTTTAACGATGTAACTTTTTTGTAGTGTGAAAGCACCGTAGATAGTACCTAAGTGAATGGGCTTGGCTGTGTTCCAATAAAACTTTATTTACAAACACAGGGCAACCAGATGAAAAAGTTCTGGAGCTGAATGATGGTGATGATTGTATAACAATGTGAATGGACTTAATGCCGCTGAACTGTCTACTTAAAAATGGTTATGATGGTAAATTTTGTGATATGTGTATTTTACCACACCCCCCCAAAAAAAATCCAGAACATAAGAGGGCGACCATATTTTGCTGACCCTGAGTTTAGAGCAATTAAATCTAGTACATGGAAAGAGAGGGAGGGAGGAAGAAATTAAATGTATCCAGCAGGACAGTGCCACTGTTGAGGAATACCTTAGTGAGAATAGGGCAGGGTTCTGGAAAACTGCGGTTCATCGTGGTGACATCATCCCATGGTCTTTAGGGATGGAGAGACACAGAGTTCATAGTTACACTTTTTGGCATAAGGATCAGATCAGGGATTTTGCACTCCCAAGACCTTCCTTCTTGGTGACTGGCAATACGTCTGTAGATGCAGGGGTCTCTTCTCGGGGCTAGAAAATGCTAGCTTTTTAGTTATTAACTATGCGTAGCAGACTCACTGGATAAAAAAGAGGAGCCACTAGTCACAGTCCGCTGGTTCTGCACCCCTCCTTGCCAAGATTCCTGAGCCATCGGGATTCACCTGTCAGCTGGAGACCCGGGCCCTCGGCATCGGGAACAATGCCATTCTGGGGACCCCACGCCACTTTTCTCTCAGCGGTGTGGAGAGGATGCTCCTGCTTCCCGGCTCCAGCCTTGGCCTCCCTCAGCTTGACCAAGACCTTGAACGAGCTCCAGGTCCAAACGGGGTCTTCCATCTGCTCAAGGGAGAAGGTCTCTGGTGTGTTTAATGCTGTTCTTGGAGCAGAGTTAGCAAATCGAGGTCCATGTATATTACTCTCCCCCCTCTCCCAGCATGCAGTGGTTTGGACTTTCCTGGTCTCTGCTGGGTCTGTTATCCTGGCTGAAGGAGGGTGTTGTCACCACGTGGTGGCATGCACTCACTCCCCCTTCCCAGTCTCCATGGATCCCAGCACCACAGAGCGCTCTGAGTGCAGTCAGCCTCTTAGTTTTCAGCTTACTTGTTGGCATCCTGCCTGCTGGTTTGTTTTTTGTTTTTTGTGTTTTTTTTTTGAAGAGGGTGAAATTCTTGGTTTCACAAGAGACTGGGAGCCTCTTAGGGAAGCCAGCCTTTTGGAACTCTCCTCTCTCTGAGCTGGGGTATTTTGAAGGACCAAATGAAGGAAAAGGGAGTGGCTGTTAAGATTTCCCTGGCTTTGGGTTGTGATCAGACAGTTCAGCTGCCTTGTGAGCATCCACGGCTTAATGTGCCTGGTTATCCAAGTGTGTGCCGCAAGGGTCGGGGGGGGACTCGGAGAGTGAGTCACTGAGCAGTGCCGACTGAATGGCAGGGAGCTCTTCCCCTACCCTGCCCCATAAGAAAAGTGCATAGCAGAGAGCTAGCACACATCTTCTGCCTCGGGAAGTATACCGTGGCCCTTCCCCCGTGAGCAAGCGGAAACCCTTAAATCTGCTCATTTTCATGTCCACATGGAGAGGAGTGGATCTGTGATGCAAGTGGGATTATTTGGTCATGAGTATCTGCTGACTCAGTCTGGAGAGGATTTTGAAGGAGATGAGATGAAATTTCATCTGTGCTGCAGAGAGCAGGGGGCGCGTTGCTGGCTGGAGAGAGGACTGTAGGCCGGGTGTGAGCCAAGGTAGGTGAGGGAAGCATGGCGCTGGGTGAGGGGAATGAGGGCAGCCTGACATGTGATCTTGGTGTTACAAGATTGATGCCCTGTTGGCCTTTGGGCCACATGGTATTACAAGAGTTCAGGAGCCCCACGACCTTCTCTTTTTCTAGATCCCACTTATTGTACTTTCCAATTGTTAAACAGTGGGACTTGGAGCAGGGAGCCTTCCTCTTACCGGGACTGTCCTGAGTTCAGGAGGGGGGCGCAGGTTGGACCTCCTGTGTCTTAATGTCTCAGAATGGCTTGACCATCGCAGCACCCCCTTTTCTAGTGTGCGACACATCGGCTGCCCTGGGACCTCCAAAAGAGCAGCCTTTTGGCACCTTGACCTGGGAGGTAGCTGCTTTTGGGCTTAGCTTTGGACTCACTGCGCAGGGTGTTTGGGAGACCATCTCTGACCCGAGCAGCTTTATTAAGACTGTGATCTTGGCAAGGGAGAGAAAGCCCTACATATGAATGCTGCAGGTTTAAAAGGGAGAGACACCTAGAAATCCATCGTAAGTAAGTAGCAGTGCAAGGAGACCAGTTTCTTGTCTTACGCAGAATGCTGTTCTGGCGCCTGCTTTCCTAAGAGCCATTAACCCGTCAGGTTGCTGCCTTGCATCCATACATATTCTTTCTTAATGCTTAGAGGGGGGAAGCTGCTTTTGGTTGTCCATGGGCCTCCTCTCCTTCCGTACACACCAGAAGCTGCCTTCCTTCTCACTTGTACATATTCAATTTTGTTCTCTTTTGGGAGCTTTGGCTGCTCCAGTCCTGGCCCATATCTTCTGAGTATTCTCAGTGCCCCAACCAAATCCTCTCCAGGAAATCTCGCTGAAGGTTTCTGGCGTGGGGACTGCTTTTCTTTCTTTTCTTTTTTCTTTTTTTCTTCCTCTTGGGCTGCTCGGCTTTAAACATGTGTTTGGATGTTTACCATCTCCTGGTAAAAGGAATGCTGGGGATACAGGTAACTTTTCCCATCTGGGAAAGCATGGAAGGCAGTATTCTGCAGAAGAATGGGGACTGATCATTTGGGGCCTCTTTTTACTTTGTCAGCCCACCCAGTCCTTACAGAAGCTAAGTGGCATATCTACGATGCTATATATCAGGCAAAAGCAATTCCAGAAAAAAAAACAAAAACAGTACAGCATAATAGATGAGGTTTGGGCAAGATCCGTAGGTGCTGTGCGGTGGGTAATGAAAAGATAGAAATATTTTGTTTTTATAAAAGTCATCTACCATCACTGGAAGAAAAACATCAAACGTTACAGAAAGCAACCACATAGATAAGGAGAGTACCTGATAATTCCTCTGGTAATAACGTGGGTATAATGTCCTCCCAGTCTTCTGCATGTACATACCCATTTTTTATTTATTTTTATTTTTTTAAATATTTTATTTATTTGAGACAGAGAGAGAGTGAGAGAGAGAGAGAGCACAAGCAGGGGAGAGGGAGAAACAGGCTCCCCACCGAGCAAGGAGCCCAATGCGGGGCTCCATCCCAAGACTCTGGGATCATGACCTGAGCCGAAAGCAGACGCTTAACCAACCAAGCCACCCACGTGCCCCCGTACCCATTTTTAAAAACCAAATTTGGGATTATTCTAGGCATCTCCAAAGATACGATTTGTAATCTCTCCAAAGTTAATATACCAGGATTGTTTCCCCAGGTCATTAAGTATTCTTCTGCACATGATTTCTCTTTTGTTGTTGTTAATTTAAAATCAATTAATTAACATAGAGTATATTATTAGTTTCAGAGCTAGAGTGTAGTGACTCATCAGTTACATATCACACCCAGTGCTCATTCCATCAAGTGCCCTCCTTAAGGCACATGATTTCTAATGACAGCATAGTATTTGATAGTTGATCATTCGAATGAATAGAATGTGACGTATTTAAACAGCACCCTGTTATTCCACCTGTGGTTTGATGGACAAATACTGTTTTAAAGGAATCTTACGTGGTGCTGTGAAAGTAGATGGCTTAGGTTATATAGTTGTGGTTTGGCCACCTCTTCAGTCTTCTGAGCAAGGCTGACAGTCTCAGCCTCCATTTCCTCACTGGTAAAAGAATGTTATGAATAGTAACTGCTTCCTTGAGTGATGGTAACAATTAGATGAGCTGCTCCGTGTTCATCTTTTAGCATCGACCCTAACAGACTAATCAGTAAATGTTAAAAATATATAACCTGAGTTTTGTCTTGATGCTTCACCATCTTACTTACTTACCTTGCTGTTAGAATTAGGGTCCCAGGGAATGAAGACTGTTTTCATTCAAACAAGCAGAATTTCAGAAAGCAGACTGCTTTCGGATAAGGAGCCCCGTTTATTAGTTGAGCGCCTTGCATATCGGGGCTTTGGCCAACTGTCTGGACTTCACAGGAAAAGAAAGTTCTGCAGCCTCTGCAGTTGTGTGCCACATTTTGGTCTGGAGCAAAGCAGGTGGGAAAGCACCAGTTACAATCAGTCCTGTATTCTATCTTTAATAGTCTCTAAAGTCTTCTATCTTCCTGTGCACAGGCAAAACCAGTCAAACTTTCTTGTTATACTTGTTTTTCTTTTCTTGTTTTTTTTCTTTTCCAGCTCTTATCCTGAACAAATTTCAAACGTCCAGAAAGGATCAGGGCAGCACACCAAACACTTATATGATCTCTACCTAGGTTCAGCAATTTTTGTCCTGGTTTCTGATATGTGAGTTAAAAAATGTGAGATCCTGACTGCATTTCCTGCTGTCTGACAGAATTGTGCTGCGGAGCCTCACACGGTGGGCAGAAAGTGAACGCTCGGGGCACCTGGGTGGCTCGGTCGGTTGAGTGTCTGCCTTCGGCTCGGGTCATGATCCCGGGGTCCTGGGATGGAGCCCCGCATCGGGCTCCCTGCTCGGCGGGAAGCCTGCTTCTCCCTCTCCCACTCCCCCTGCTTCTGATCTCTTTCTCTGTCAAATGGGTAAATAAAATCTTTAAAAAAAAAAAGTGCACACTCTCACTCAGGCCAAGGGCCGATGGAAAAGAGAAGGTCAGAATGGAAGGACTCTGGTTAGTGGCAATAGATTGATTGTTTGTATAATACACGTTATGGAAAATAAATCTCAACGTAGCTTCTGGCTGAAGGGAAAGCGTAGATCCTGGTGTCTACCAACATGACAAAGCTGTGTCGAGTGAAAAATGTAATTTGCAGAAGGATAGAGAGAGAGTACATCATTTATTTCATGGGATAATCAGGAAGCAACAATGTTTATGGTTTGTGGATACATACAAATGTAATAAATCTATATAATCATAGGAAGGAATCCCACTATTTCTGAATAAAGGTTTCCTCTGGTTAGGGAGTGGAGGGGATGGATAGTGTTCAGGAGGGGTCCACAGGGCTTCAGCTGAATCCGTAATGTTCAAATTGACCAAAGTAGGATGGTGGGCACAGAGGTTCTTACCCTTTTTATACTTTTCTGTATGTAAGAAAATTTTAATGTAGAGAACTAGAGTGAAGAAACATTGTTTAAAAGGCTTCTTAGAATCTCAGGCCATTTATTTTGTGGTTGTCAAAGTGGAAACCAGGGGAGTTCAGTGTTTTGTTTTTCATATATATTTTTAAATTTAATTACCATACTATAAAATTGACTTTTTGGTATACAGTCTATGAGTTGCTTGCACTTCTTCACTGTTGTGAATGATGCTGCTATGAAATGGGTGTACAAATGTTCCTTAGAGACCCTGCTTTCAATTCTTTTGGGTATATACCCAGAAGTGGAATGGCTGGATCATATGGTAATTTCATTTTTAATTTTTTGAAGAACTGCCAAACTGTTTTACACAGCTGCTGTACCATTTTACATGCCCACCAAGAGTGTATAAGAGTTCCAATTTCTCCACGTCTTTGCCAATATTTGTTATTTTCTGTGGGTGTTTTTTTTTTTTTTTTTGTAGTAGCCGTTCTAATAGTGTCAGATAGTATCTAATTGGGATTTTGATTTGCATTTCATTTTCTAATGTCCCATGTGATTCCTTCTTTGATCCATTTGTTGTTTAAGAGTGTGTTATTTAATTTTCACACATTTGTGAATTTTCTCATTTTACTTCCATTATTGATTTTTAACCTCATAGTGTTGTGGTTAGACCAGATACTTTGTATGATATCTACCTTTTCTAAATTTTTAAAAAAAGATTTTATTTATTTGAGAGAGAGAGAGCATGAGCAGGGGGAGGGATAGGGGGAGAGGGAGAAGCAGGCTTCCCACTGAGCAGGGAGCCCGATGCGGGGCTCGATCCCAGGACCCTGAGATCATGACCTGAGCCGAAGGCAGACGCTTAACCGACTGAACAACCCAGGTGCCTGATATCTGCCTTTTTAAATCTACTGAAACTTAATTTATGGCCTAACCTGTGATCTATCCCAGAAAATGTCCCATGGGCACTTGAGAGGAATGAATTCTGTTGTTGTTGGTTAAAGTGTTCTGTATACGTCTGTTTGATCTAGTTGGTTTATTGTGTTGTTCAGGTCCTTTATTTCCTTGCTTTTCTTCTCTCTGCTGTTCTGTCTGTTATTGAGAGTGGAGTGTGTAAGTCTCCAGCTATTACTGTAGAGCTGTCTATTTCTCCCTTTGAATCTGTCCATTTTTGCTTTATATATGCTGATGGTCTGTTGTTAAGTATGTAAATGTTTATAATTGTTACATCTTTTTGTGATATTGAATGTTTTATTAATAAATAATATCTTCTGTCTCTTATAAACTGTTCTGATTTATAGTCTATTTTGCCTAATATTAGTATAGCCACCCCTGCTCTTTATTTGGTTACCATTTGCATGGAATATCTTTTTCCATCCTTTCACTTTCAGCCTGTGTCTTTGAATCTACAGTGAGTCCCTTGTAGACAGCCTAGAATTGGATCATGTTTTTTATTCATTCAGCCAGTCTCTGTCCTTTAGTTGGACAGTTTTAATCCATTTACATCTAAAGTAATTACTGATAAGGAGGGACCTCTGTAATTTTGCTAATTGTTTTCCATATGCTGTATAATTTTTTTTGTGCCTCATTTCCTGCATTACTGTCTTCTTTTGTGTTTGGTTGATTTTTCAGTAGTCTAACAATTTAATTCCCTTATCATTTCTGTTTGTGTATATTCCTTAACTGTTTTCTTTGTGGTTATCATGGGGATTACATTTAATATCCTAAAGTTATAGCATTTTACTTTGAGTTTATATGAGCTTAATTTAAATAACATACAAAACGCTGCTCCTTTATAGTTTCATGCCCACCCCTTTCAGGTATCGATGGCACAAAATTACGTCTTTATGCAATGTGTGCCCCAAAACATAAAGTAATTATTTTCAAATGCATTAGTCTCTTAAATTATGCAGAAAACAAAATGTGGAGTTACAAACCGAAATTATAATAGTAGTTTTTACATACTATGGTTTTTTGAACATATTAATCTCTTAAATTATGTAGAAAACAAAAAGTTGGAGTTATAAACTGTTTAGATAATACTAGCTTTTATAATTGCCCATGTATTTACCTTTACCACGATCTTTATTTCTTTATATGGCTTCGAGTGATGGTTTGGTGTCCTTTTGTTTCAACCTACAGGACTCTTTTAGCATATCCCTAAAGCCCGGCAACCATTGATTAGCTCTCCTTCACTATAGGTTTATTGTTTAGGGAATATCATCAAAATGGAATCCTGTAGTATGTAACCTTTTGAGACTGGCTTTATTCACACAGCTTTAAGAGTCATCCAAGTTCTTGTATATATGAGTTCATTCATATATTTGTTAATGAGTATGTATATACCACATTTTATTGGTATGTCTATACCACAATTTGTTCATCCATTCACCCCTTGAAGGGCATCTGGGCTGATTGCAGATTTTGGCCAGAGGTGCTATGAACATCTGTGTAAAGGTTTTTGTGTAAACACGCTTTAACTAAACCAGGGTAAATAGGTAGCAGCAGGATAATTGGGTCAAATGATACGAGTATTTTTAACTTTTAAAGCTTTTTATAAACTTTAGAAGCAGCTTCCAAACTGTTTTCCAAATTGTTTTTACATTTCCACCAGCATTGTATTATGAGAGTTCCCATTTCTCTACAGTCTTTCTAACATTTGCTATTGTTAGTATTTCTATTTTAGTGATTCTTACAGGTGAGGAGTTGTATCTTATTGTGGTTTTAGTTTGCATTTCCCTAATGATATGGAACCTCTTTTGCTGTGCTTATTTGCCATCCATATATCCTTTTTGGTGAAATGTCTGTTCAAGTTTTCTAGCCCATTTTTTAATTGGGTTTTTGTTTTCTTATTATTGAGTATGAATATTCTTTATATACTCTGGGTAAAAGTCCTTTGTTGGGTATGTTATTTGCATATGTTTTCTCCCATTCTATAGTTTGTGTGGTCATTTTTGTCAAAGTGTCTGACACAGCGAAATTTTAAATTTTGACT